TCTTCGCGCTGCCGACGCGCGGCGACGCCGACGCCTGCGGCGACCAGGCCAAGCTCGTCGCGTCCGTCGGGGGCCTCGGCACGACGACGCGCCACGCCGTGACGCTGACGACGACGCCCGCGGGCGACGGCGTCGCCGTCGCCAACGCGTCGACGTCGTTCTCCGCCTACGTCGCCGCGGAGGCCAACGCCTGCAACGGCGCCTACCCGAACGCCTACGTGACGAAGCTCGACGCCGCCTGGACGGCGCAGTGGTCGCCGCCGGTGTTGGAGATTATGGTGACGGCCGCGGCCTCGTCGCCGACGACGGCGGCGGCGGCGGCCGCCGCCGCGCCCGCCGCCGCGACGAACGGCACCTTCGGCGGCGGCGGCGACCCGGCGCTCGCCCTCACCTTCGTCGACGGCGCGCCCGCGGTCAACACACCCTACGTCTACCGCCTCGTGGACCTCGCCTACAGCGACTCGTTCGGCGACGGCTGGAACGGGGCCGCGCTCACGCTCCGGCGCCGCGGCGCGGACGACGACCTGGCGCTCTACGCGGGCACGCTGTCCCGGGGCCACGGCGCCGTGGACGAGGTCCTGCTGCCGTCGGGCTGCTACGACCTCGGCGTGTCCGCGGGGTCCTTCGCGGGCGAGATCTCGTGGTCCGCGTGCGACGCCGTCGTCGGAGGCGCCGCGCCCGCGAGCACCTACTTCTGCGTCGACGGCGCGGGCGCCTGCGTGGGCCCGTCGGCGCCGCCGACGCCGACGCCGCCGTCCCTGGAGACGTCGGACGGCGTGACGGTGTCCTGGGCCATCCTCGACGGCGCGGGCGACTGCGACGCGTCCGCGTCGCTGGAGCTGGCCGTGGGCTCCTGCGCCGTGTCCTGGACGCCGAAGATGGACGTGTCGAACCCGCACACCTACAACGCGCGCCACGCGCGGCTCGTCGGCGCGAGCGTCGACGACGACCGCATATCGCGCCACGGCGAGATCGCCGTCAGCTTACGGTGGGCCGTCGACGAGGACACCTGGTCGCCCTACGGCGCGGGACAGTGCGAGGCGCTCATGACGCAGACGACGACGTTGACCGTGGCCTACGACGCCCCCGGTCTCACCGTCGAGGTCGTCAACGAGGTCGCGCGCAACGACCGCGCGAACGGGACGTTCCACGAGCAGTTCGCCGCCGGCTACGCGTTAACCGGCCGCGAGGGCAAGTTCGTCGACCGCGCGGGCGAGAAGTCGTCGCTCACGGCCGTCTTCGCCTGCGAGGCGCCCCACCGCGCGAGCGACGTCGCCGTGGAGATTTTAGCGGGCGCGGCCGTCGCGCGCCGCGGCGACGACGAGGTCGGCGGCGCGTCCGGCGTCCTGGCCGACGCCGCGGACTGCCTCGGCGTCTCCGAGCTCGTTTTGGACGTGCTCGACGGCTTCGCGGCGGCGACCTTTTCCCTCTGCGGCACGACGGTGTCGACGGACGGGTCGTGGACCTGCGACGGCGCGCCCGCGGCCGTCGCGAGGGACGACCCCGGCGAGCCCGTCGAGGGCGCCGTCGCCATCGGCCCCGCGGGCGGCGGCGGCGGGCGCTGCGCGCGGACCTTCGACGCGCCCGTCGAGGCGCGGGGCACGCTCGAGCTCGGGGCGCTGGACGCGAGGGTCGCGGCGGACGGCGCCGTCGTCGCCTGGGGCGCGGCGACCGCGTCGCTGCCCACGGACTGCGCCGCGCCGGTCCGGCTCGACGTCGCGACGGCGGCGGGCGGCGCGTTGCCGGCGAGCGCCGACCTCTGCGGCGGGGCCGCGTCGCTCGCCTGGACCTGCGGCGCCAACGGGACGAACGCGACGACGTGGACCCCGAAGACCGCCGCGGCCCCCGGCGACGCGTGCGCCGCGGTCGCCCTCCCGCGAAACCCCCTGCCCTGCGGCGACGCGCTCGACGACGCCTACGGCGCGGGCACCTGCGCGGGCCTGGCGGAGCGCATGGCCTGCGCGCGCCAGTTCTGCCCGGGCTGCCCCTACCCGGGCAGGAAAAATCCCAACTTCGAAGGCTCCTCTCTCGGCCGTTTTCTACTCATTTCGGCTGATTTTTGGACGAGCGAACATCTCTCGGAGCGCTGTCGAAGCATGGATGCCTTTTCTGGAACGCGCGCGCGCGCGGACCACTCACGTTGAAGCGACGTTGAATCACCCCGTTCCCGCCCAGGCCCCCACGCGCGGTCGTGCGACGCGACGTGCGGCTTCTGCGCGGGCGCGACGAGCCCGCCGACGTCCGCGCCGGCGTGCCTCGACGTGAGCGTGGGCATGTACGACACCTTCGGCGACGGCTGGAACGACGCCTACTACCTGCTCCGCGAGCGCTGGAGCGAGGACGTGGAGCGCGACACGTTCCACGCGTCCGGCACGCTGAAGAAAGGGTCGAAGAAGGTGGACCGGCGGTGCCTGCCCTACGGCGGCTGCTACGACTTCAGCGTCACGGCGGGCGCGTTCCCGTCCGAGGTGCGCTGGGAGCTCTGCGACGCCGCGGGCGGCGCGCCGGAGGACTCGCGCTTCTGCGTGTCCGAGGAGTTCGGCTGCGAGCGGGAGCTCGCGCCGGGCATCGTCGCGTCCATCGTCTGGACGCCCGTCAACGGGTCCTGCTCGGGCGTCGCCGCGCCGTCCGTGGTCCTCCGCGCGCCCGCGCTCTCCGCGGGCGAGATAACTACCGTCGCGCCGTACTTCGAGGACCGGACGTCCGCGGACGCGCGCGGGTCCATCTTCAAGGCCGCGGCGACCATGGACTCCTTCGTCATCAAGTGGGACGACGCGCCGCCGGGCGCCGAGACGGACTGCGACATGGACATTGTGGCGACGAGCTCGTGGGCCGCGGCCGTCGTCGGCGAGCAAATCGTCGCCGTGACGGTCGAGAACCAGATCGGCGCCCTCGACAGCGACGACAACGACGGCGCGGGCGTGTCCCTCGACGGCTACGCGCCCGTCGTCGGGCTCAAGGGCCGGCCCGCGACGACGACGACGTTCCACTACCGCGTCGCGCGCGTCGACACGTCCGCGGACTGGACGCTCCGGGATCTGGCGAGCGGCGACGTGCTGCACACGACGACGACGGACGACCTCGTCCTGGCCGACGGCTGCTACGTGCTCAGCGTGCTCGAGGACGCGGCCTGGAGCCTCTGCGACGGCGTCGCGGCGCCGTCCGCGGACCCGTCGACGGGCTTCGAGTTCTGCGTCGTCGCGGGGGCGTGTTTGCCGGGCACGCGGCCGCCGACGATGGCGGCGACGGAGGCCGCCGAGGAGTCGGCCTACAGCGGCCTCGAGAAGCACGTCAAGTTCGTCGCGCGCGAGCGCGGCGAGCCGTCGTGCTCCGACGCGCGATTGGTAGAAGTCGACGTCTCCGTGGACTTCGCCGCGCCGAGCTGCGCGTTGACGCTCACGCCGGCCTTCGACGCGAGCCAGGCGACGACCTGGGACGGGCGGCCCCTCGGCGCGGGCCAGCTCTACCGCGCGGCCTACGACCTGGCGGCGCAGACGCTCGAGGTCCAGTGGGAGGACCACGGCGACCACGCGGACTGCGAGATGGACCTGACGGAGGAGCTGCGCTGGAGCGCGAACTACGCCTACCCGACGCTGACGGTCACGGTCGACGCGGCCGTGACGGCGCTCGACGGCGCCGCGGGCCTCGCCGCGGGCTACGAGGTGGCGCCCGGCGGCTACGGCCCCCAGCTCTTCCCCTTCCAGGAGCCCGTCGCCTGGACCCGGGAGCAGTTCCTCGTGGACTGCGCCGTCGCCGGGTCCCTCGGCGGCGCGTCCGCGTCCGTCCGCGCCGCGAACGGCTCAGGGCAGGACAAGGGTGATTCAACGTCGCTTCAACGTGAGTGTTCCGCGCGCGCCCGTTCTGGAAAAAGCATCCACGCTTCGAGACCGCTCCGAGAGATGATCGCTCGTCCAAAAATCAGCCGAAACGAGTGGAAACCGGCCGAGAGAGGAGCCTTTGAAGTTGGGAATTTCGCACTCTTGTCCTGCCCAGGAACGGCTTCGAGCTCTTCGTCAACGGCGTCTTCGTGCGCGCGGCCGCGGGCTGGGCGTCGACTTTTGAGGTCGACGCGCTGCCCGTCAAGTGCGACGGGTCCGACGTGCTCGCCGTCGCCGCGGACGCGGGCGCGGGCGTCTTCGGCCTCGCGGCGACCTTCGACCTGCCCTGCGCTTCCGTCGCCACGTCCGACCGCTGGGCCTGCGACGGCGACGGCGGCGGCTCCTACGACTGGACGCGCCGGGGCTTCGACGACTCCGCCTGGGCCCGCGCGGCCGTCTTGGAAGAAGACCGCGCCGCCCACCTCGACGCGTTCCCGGCCCCGGAGGGCGCCGCGTGGCTCTGGACCGCCGGCCGCGGCTTCTCGCAGGAGTCGCGCGTCCGATGCCGCTTCGTCGTCGCGGCCCTCGACCCGGCGTCGCCGCGGCCGACGCCCGCGCCGTCGCGCGCGTCGACGCCGAAGCCGTCGCCGGAGCCGTCGCCCGCGCCCGCGTCGCCCGCGCCGACGCCCGGCCCCGCGGGCGCGCCCGGCCCGACGTCGCGCGCGCCCGCCCCCGCGCCGTCGGGCCCGCCGTCGCCCGCGCCGACCGCGCGGCCCGCGGCGCCCGGCGCCGCGGCCGACGACGACGACCGCGGCTCGACGAAGGAGGCGACCGCGGGCGCGACGAAGATCGTCCTCGCGCTCCTCGGCGGCGTCGCGGTCCTGGGCCTCCTCGCCTGCTGCGCGAAGAAGCTCGGCCCGCGGCTCCTGCCGGCCCTCGCGCGCGCGCGGACGTCCATGTCCGGGTCGGAGAATCGCGCGCGCCGCTTCGAGACGGAGCTCAACGAGATGATGCTCCCGGGATCGTTCTCGCCCCTCCGCGGCGACGAGCCGCCGCCGGCGCGCGACCCCGACTCGGGGCGCAACAAGTTCTCCGAGCGGCTCAAGGCGCTCCACCGCGGCGACCCGGACGAGCCGTCCTACTTCGCGCCGCCCGCGAACGAGGACTCGGGCCTCGCCGTCTAAGCGCGGGCTTTGTTACTGCTGGGCCGCCTCGTCGAGGTCGACGACGGGCTCCTCGTCGCCGGCCTCGCTCGGCGGCGCCGAGCCGCTCCCGGAGCCGGACGCCGCGCTCCGGCTCGGCGACGACCGCGGCGCCGCGGGCGCGGGCGGCGGGGGCACGCACGCGAGGTCCACGAAGCCCACGATGGGGTGGAGGATGTGGGCGGCGCCCTGGCGCTCCGCGACGACGACGCGCGCGTTCGGCGGCAGCGCGCCGACGACCGCGGCGTCGGCGTAGCGGTCGTCGCGGACCGTCGCGGCCGCGAGGAGCGCCGCCGGCGCGCCGAGCAGGTCCCCGAACTGGTCCTCGAGGTCCCGAATGGCCACGTCGTAGATGTGGAGCTGGTCCTCGAGCCGGTCGCGCTTGTCGCTCCGCGCGTTCTGCCGCCGCCGCAGCTCGGGCAGCAGCGTCGCGATGCGCTCGCGCTCGACGACGAGCTTGTCGATCTCCGCGTCGCACCGCTCCCGGTCCGCCTTGCACCGGCCGAGGGCCTCGCGCAGCGGGTTCAGCGGCGACGGCGTGCAGGCGTAGGACATCGTGGAACAGCCAAGAGCTGGGCAGCCAGCGTCTCGATGGTCGTCCTTGTCGTCCTACTTCTAACTAGGGCGCTCGGCCGCGGCGCTCGGCGCGCCCGCCGGCGGCCCGCCGGCGCGAAAGTGCCCGCGCTCGAGCCCGGCCGCCGCCGGACAGAGGCGCCGCGCGGCCGACCAACTTCCCCCGCCCACGAGACGTGCGAGGCGACTGGTCGTATACATCAGGGCACTTCGTCAGCGCGCGCGCGCCGGCGTCCGGGCCGCGGCCGGCGAAGTGCGGGTGGAGAGGCACGGTGTCGCTTTCGGGAGGAGTGTGGGGGAGCAATGATCGGGGGTGGTGTTTTTTCTGGTGTTTCGTGTGGCTGTCGGCCGGCGCGGGGCGCGGCCGCGTTTTCTGTTGTTTCTGGATTTTTTCGCCGTTCGCGGAGCCGGTCGTGCGGCGCGGAGCGCGCGTCGCCCTCGGCTTTGTGGGCGCGGGGCGCGTCGCGGGTGCGCGGGTGGCCTTGGGTCTTGGTGCGGCGCGCGGCGCCTCGGGCCGGGGGGTCGCGCTCCGCCGCCGCGGCTCCGGGAGCGGGTTCGTTTTTTCGTTTCGTCGTAGCGGGGACCGCCGCGCGGATCGGGCGCGGTCGTGAGAGTGTCGATGCGAGGGGGCGAGGGGCTTTTGGGGGCGGGGGCGCGCCCCGTTCAAGAGATGGACTTGAACGTGATGGACACGGCGAGGAAGAGGAAGTAGAGGGAGAACATGACCAGCCCGAGCTTCAGGTCCAGCGTCCAGTTGTTCCTCATGACGCTCAGCACGACGAGCGCGACCATGCTGAGGAGCATGATCGTGTCGAAGGCGATGCCCGTCGTCGAGAAGTCCCAGCTCGCGTTCTTCAGCGGGTTGCCGATGATCGCGACGACGAGGTACTTCGTCAGCGTCGGCACGGGGAGGCCGACGAGGATGTCGAAGACGTTGGAGCCGATGGACGACGAGATGGCCATGTCGCCGCGGCCCTCGCGCGCCATGTACATGGAGCTCAGCGCGTCGGGGATCGACGTGCCCGCGGCGAGCACCGTGAGGCCCATGATGTAGTCGCCGATGCCGACGACCGAGCCGATGATCGTCGTCCAGACGACCATCATGTACGCGAAGACGACGAGCCACATGAGGGACCCGGCGAAGGTGCCGAGGAACCACTTCTTCTTGTCGGGGTGCGCGCAGTCCGGGAGCGTGCCGTAGAGGCAGACCTTGAGCGGCGCCGCGACGATGAAGAGGATCCGGTCCGGCGCGTCGTCGGGCCAGGCCCAGGGGTCCTCCCACTCGTCCTCGTCCTCCTCCTCGCCGCCCTTGGCCTCCTCGCCGCCGTTGGCCGCCTTGTCCGCGGCGCCGGGCCCGTCGGGGGGCACGCTGTCGTAGATCTGCTTCGAGTAGACGCCGACGCCCGCGCCCGCGTCGGGCCCGGGCGACTCGGCGGCCTCGACGCCCTCGGCGTCGCTCGGCGCGCCGCCGCCCGACGCCGCGACCTCGACGGTCGTCGCGCCGCCGTCGGACGCGGCCTTCTTGGCCTCCGCGGCCGCGCGCGCGATCGACGGCCGGTCCTCGCCGCCGGGCCGGACCTTCGCGTTCTTCTCCATGCCGAACTGGCGCGTCGTGAAGATCTCGAGGGGCTCGTTGTAGGCCATGATGGTCACGTAGCAGAGGTAGAGGAGGAAGAGGATGAGAGCCTCGTACCAGACCATGGACTCGTCGGACACGCAGGCCGCGAGCACGAGCAGGCCCATGATGTAGTAGGAGCAGTCGCGGAAGAGGGGCCACCACGTGAGCGGCAGCGCGCCGCCGGGCACGACGAGGGCGCACATGCCGATGACGAAGAGCACGTTGAAGACCGCCGACCCGACGATGGTGCCGAAGCCGATGTCGGACCGCGACACGAACTGTCCCATGAACGACGTCGCGAGCTCCGGCGCGGACCCGCCCGCGGCCATGAACGTCGCGCCCGCGACGTCGTCGTCGATCTCCCACTTCTCGACCATGCAGTCCAGCGCCGGGCCGAAGAAGTTGTCGCAGACGATCATGAGCGCGAGGAACATGTAGCAGACGCCGAGCACGTGGAAGACGACGAGCGGCGAGTTGCCGTGCTGGTTGCCCTTGCCCTTCTTGTGGATGAAGGCGTCGCCGACCCAGAACGGGTTCTTCTCCTTCTGCTGCTGCGCGTTCTTGGCGTGGCTCAGGGACCGGGGCGACCGCTCCCCGAGCCTCGGGCGGTCGGGCCCGGGTTCGCCGTCCCGGAGGTCGGCGCCGCCGGGGGCCGGGGGCGCCCGGGCGGCCCCGGCGCCGGCCGGGGGGTCGCGCGCGCGCGCGTCGCCGCCGTCGCTCCCCGCCGCCGCCCGCAGACTCCTCCCGGGCCCTATCCTCGGGCCGCGCGCGAGCGTTGAAAGGTCGATAGCGAGGGCCACGGCGAGAAATCCGCCCATCACGCAGAGGAGGCCCCGGGAGCGGAACACCCGCTGTCGTCGTCGGCCCCGGCACGGCCGGGGCTCACGCCCGCAGGCGCGCGCCACCGCCACCTCCATGGCGTCCCTCAACAGGCAGTGGCCGCTGAGCAGCCCAGCCTCGCGTTGTTGGACGGGAGTGCTTTGTGGAGCGCCCGGTAGATTGAGATACGTAGATACGTCGCCGGGAAACATGGGCTTTTGCCGATAGACGTCGACGGGATTTGAGGCGGGACGCTCGATTGCGCGGGTCCAGCGTCGTCCAGCGCCTCCGCGCGGGCGCGCCACGGGTCGCCGCCGCGCGACGGCCTCCCCCGAGGAATCGCCCTCGGCGGCGCGCTTGGCCGCGCTGTGTTCTGAGGTACGGGGACGGACGATGCTTCGGGCTTGGACGTCGGCGCGGCGCGGCTGCGGATGTGTGCGCCGGCGCGCCGTCGGTGCCCAGGCCAGACGCCGAGAGGCGACATGTCAGGCGCCGCCGACGACGGCCGATCGGGGCCCCGGTGTAATCTTTTGTCCGTCGGACAAAGGATTGGTCCTCGCGAGACGGCCGAGACGCCGCGCGCATGGGCGTCGACTCCAGCCCTTCATGAGAGCCCCGGACGACGTTGAATGAGCGAGAGTGGTTTGGAGACGGACAGGGAACCCCCGGGTGAGGCCCGGGCCGGTTCTTCTGACAACGGCGTCGAGAAAAATGGCGTGAAGCATGACAAGCCGGCCGACAAGCCGGTCGACAGCGGGTTTTTCCCCGACAAGGACGGGAAGATGGTCGAGATTAAGGACGTCTGGGCGTCCACGCTAGACGCGGAGATGGCCGTGATCCGCGAGCTCGTCGAGTCCTACCCGTGCGTTCCGCCGCGTCCGCGAGCCGCGCTTCCGCCGCCGCAGCGCATATCCGCCGCGCGCGCGGCGGCGGCCCCCGCCGCCCGCGGCGGCGCGCCCCGCCCTCCGGGACGCTCGCGCGCGCCCTCCCGATCGCCCGGGACCCCGTCGCGCCCCCCCCACGCCGCGCCCGCCCCCCAGGTACGTCGCGATGGACACGGAGTTCCCCGGCGTCGTCGCCAAGCCGATCGGCGACGCGTACAGCACGGGCTACCAGTACCAGACGCTGCAGTGCAACGTGGACCTGCTCAAGATCATCCAGCTCGGCATCAGCTTCTGCGACGGCGAGGGGAAGACGCCCGAGGAGGGCTGCTACTGCTTCCAGTTCAACTTCCGCTTCGACCTCGCCGAGGACATGTACGCGGAGGACAGCATCCAGCTCCTCAAGGAGAGCGGCATCGACTTCCACCGGCACGCGACGGAGGGCATCGACGTCGCGCGCTTCGGCGAGCTCGTCATGATGAGCGGCCTCGTGCTCTGCGACGACGTCAAGTGGGTCTCGTTCCACAGCGGCTACGACTTCGGGTACCTGATCAAGATCCTGACCTGCCAGACGCTGCCCGCGGACGAGCAGGGCTTCTTCGAGCTGCTGGCCCTCTACTTCCCGACGCTCTACGACGTCAAGCTCCTCATGACGCACGTCGACGGCCTCCACGGCGGCCTCCAGCGCGTCGCCGAGGATCTAAAGGTCGAGCGCATCGGCCCCATGCACCAGGCGGGCTCCGACTCCATGCTCACGAACGCGACCTTCTTCCGCCTCGCGGAGCTCGCCTTCTCCTCGCCGGAGAAGGTCGAGGAGAAGTACCGCGGCGCCATCTACGGCCTCGGCGAGCACGCGTACCGGGGCAAGCAGCACCAGGACGCCGCCGCGTCCAAGTACAACCAGGACAACGGCGGCACGATGAACGGGGGGCACCAGGTCCAGAACGGCGTCGTCAACATGCCCAACGACGAGTAGGCGTGTCGTCCGTCGTCGTGTCCCTGTGTCCTCTCCGTGCTTCGCTCGCGCCTCTCGCCTCCGCCCACGCGGGGGCGCCCGACAAAAACAAACCTCGATCCTCGCGATCCCGGACGGCGCCGACCGCCGCGTGCTCCGCGGCGCGAGGCGCCTTTCCGGCAACCAATACCGACGCGCGCGACGCCGCCCTAACGGACGACTGACCGCGCACACGCGGACGGGTGTGGGGGCTCATTTCGAATCGAGATCGCGCCGGGGGCAGCCCCGACCGAAACTTCGAAGACCTGTGCACGATGGCGGCGGCCGACGGCGACGACGGCGACGCGCGCGAGGCGCTGTTCTGGGCCTGCCGCGCGGGCGTCGGCGACACGGTGCGCGCGCTGCTCGAGATCGAGCCCGAGCTCGCGACGGCGGAGCTCGGCGCCTTCGAGGGCCACGACGTCCACGGCGCCGTGCCCCTCGCGGCGAACCGGCGCTGCTACACGTTCACGGGCTCGCGCAAGGACGGCCACACCTACGCGCTCCACGTCGCCGCCGAGTCGGGCCACAAGGCCCTCGTCAGGGCCCTCGTCGACGTCCACGGCGCGGACCCCGGCGCGCGCGACTACCGGGGCCGCGCGGCGCGCGACGTCGCGAACGGCGACGCGCGCGACGCCTTCAAGGAGTTCGCGGGCCTCGAGTACGACGTGCGCGAGCGCTACGCGGGGGACGAGGACGAATCCGGCGAGCCCCACGGCGCGGGCAAACTCTACCGCAAGCGCGCGGGCTACGAGGAGCGCGAGTTCCTATTGTACGACGGCGCGTGGCACCACGGCCGCTACCACGGCGCGGGCGCGCTCTACCACGCGGGCACGGACACGTTGGCCTACAGCGGCAAGTGGGTCCACGGCGTGCGCCACGGCGGCGGCCGGAGCTTCGGGGAGACGGGCGCGCTCGAGTACGACGGCGCGCACCGCGTGAACAAGCGCCACGGCTTCGGCCGCGCGTACGCGCAGGGCAAATGCGTCTACGAGGGCCGCTGGCGCCGGGGCTACAAGCACGGCTACGGGCGCCTCGACTTCCTCGACGAGGGCGGCGAGTCCACGGGCCACTTCGAGGGCTCGTTCCGCGACGACAAGATGTGCGGCGCGGGCACGTACTTCCACGCGAACGGCGACCGCTACGAGGGCCAGTTCGACGACAACGCGCCCGACGGCCACGGGTCCTACTACGACGCCGCGTCGGGACAGCGCACGGACGGCACCTGGGACGACGGGAAGCTCCGCGCGGAGCCCGACGCGGCGCGGCCCCCGGGCGCGTTCGCCTTCGACGACGTCTACGACCTGCACCTCGTCAACGACTCGTCGGACGAGGACGACGTCATCTCCGACGAGGAGGAGGCGGCGGACCCGGGGACGCGGCGGCCCGCGGGCCTGTGCCGCATGCCGTGCCGCACGGCGGGCGGCGGCGACCTCAACATCGCCACGGAGTACGTCCACGCGGCCCACGTCGTCCACGTCGACTTCGTGGACCAGAAGCACGAGCCCGAGGTGCCCAGGGACTTCATGGTCGTCTACGACATCGTCGCGGCCTACGGGCGCCGCGTCGCGCCCGAGCGGCGGCGGACGCGCGTGAAAACGCGCGAGTCGCAGGCCGAGCGCGACGACGACAGCGGCGACGACGACCTGGAGACGGCGGCGGCGTCGCCCCTCGAGGCGCGCATCGACTTCATGCGCTTCCTCGCGAACATGACGCGGCGGCGCCACGCGCTCGAGGCGGCGCTCGAGGCGTCGGAGGCGGCGCTCGTCGCGGGCATGACCGAGGAGCTCGAGGCGCTCGTGGACACGCTGGAGCCGCTCCCGACGGGCGGCAACGACCAGGCCGCCCGCCTGCTCCAGGTGCTCATCGAGTCCCGGTCCGCGAAGACGATCTACCCGCCCGTCGACGACGGCGAGGAGCGGGAAAAGGTCGACGCGACGCTCCTCGAGCCGCCGCTGAAGTGGGGCGACGGCGACGACGAGCCCGAGTACAAAACGCTCGAGGAGGCGCTCCGGTCCGTCGACGCGGTGCTGGCGGAGGTGTCCGCGGAGGTGCTCGCGCAGGACGAGGAGGAGCAGGCGCGGAGCCGGCGGCGGGCGCGGGACGACGACGAGCCGGAGGCGCTCGACGAGCTCCTGGCGCAGGTCTGCGCGCGCCACGGCGTCGCCGACGACGATCTCGCGGACGTCGGCGCGGTCCTCCGGGACGTGCGGGCGAAGCACGGCGTCCCCGGCGACGACCTCGCGCTGCCGCCGCCGCCGCCGGACCCGGACGCGGACCAGGCGGACCTGACGCGGCGGCTCGACGCCATCTTCCGCACGGGCGAGCTCGGCGACGACGACGACGTCGTCGTGGACCAGATCCTCAAGCGCGTCCGCGAGCGGCACGACCTCCCGGACGACGACGCCGTCGCGCTGCGCGCGCCGCCGGAGCTCGAGCACGAGGAGGACCTCGAAAAGCTGCTCGCGGCCGTCCGCGCGCGCCACGGGCTGCCGGACGTGTCGGAGCACGTGCGGCGGGCCATCGCGTCGGGCGACGTGCCCGCGGACGCGCCGGCCATGAGCGACGCCGAGGCCGCGGCCTTCGCCGAGGCCTACGTCGACCCGTCGAAGCTGCCCTACCGCGAGGACATGATGGCCACGGAGGACCGGGCGCTCATCGCCCACTACGACGACCTCATCGCGCGCGCCGGGGACGAGAAGGCGGACTTCGCCGCGCTCGAGGCCGAGTATCGGAATCTGCGATAATAAGACGGCGGGGCCAAACGCGCGCCGGGGGAAAGGGGCGCGCGCGCTCCAAAGCGTCCGCGGTCGAGGCCCGCGCCTAGGCCGCCTTCTTCTTCGGCGCGAGGAGGTCGTCGATGACGGAGTAGATGAGGACGCCGCCGATGGCGACGCCCGCGCCGATCTTCTGCTCGTCCGTGAGGGCCTTGCCCGTGATGGCGGCCATGTAGATGAGCACGATGACGCGCTTCGCCGTGTTGGCGACGGACGCGGTGACCGCGCCCGTCGTCTTGATCGTCATCGTCGCGAGCTCGTTGTAGAGGTAGAAGGCGAGGCCCGACATGGCGAGGTTGAACTGGAGCTCCTTGGACGTCTTGAGCAGCTCGAGGAACTTGGGCCACATGTCGCCCTCGGTGTAGAACATGACCGGGAGCGAGATGAGGAACGCGAGGATCTCCGTGACCGCGTACTGGTTGCCGACGCCGCCGTAGCGCGCCTTGATGTCCTTGTCCGTCATGAGCTTCTTGTTCTCGGAGCCCTTGAAGGCCGCGAACGCGTTGGCCAGCAGGCCGAACTGGAGCGCGGTCATGTCGAACTTGAGCGTGTAGGCGCCCTCGACCTTCTTCATCGACGCGAACGCGACGCCGCCGACGATGATGGGCAGGCAGCACCACTTGGGCAGGCTCGGGGGCTTGCCGTAGAAGATGGTGTTGACGATGGCGCTGAGCACGGGCTCGCCGGCCTTGACGATCTGGCCGAAGAGCGGGTCGCCGCCTACGACGCGCGACGGTGATGATGGCTCGTCGTCTTCCCGGTCAAAGGCTCTCGAAAATGGGACGCCGGTCGCCGCCGAGCGCGAAGACGGACGCGCTGTGCGCGGCCGCCGCGCAGAAGCCCACGGGGATGGTCTTGAGGATGTCCGTGAACTTCGTGCCGGGCAGCTTCTGGCGGTCCGGCGTCTGGAGGCCGCAGAGCTTGATGGGGTTGAAGCTCAGCACCCAGAGCACGATCGCGTAGGCGGCGCAGACGCCGAGCTGCATCGTCGACACGGTCATGGTCATGCCCGCCGTCTTGCCGCCGACGGCGTCGAGCGCGCCCTTGTTGTACTCGTTGTACTTCGTGTTGCCCGCATACCTGGGGGTTTGCGTGTGTCGCGCGGCCAGAAAAGGCGGGCCCCGACTTGGTAGACGCGCGCGCCAGCGCTCTCTCCGGCGACCTCTCGCGCGGTCTTTGGAGCGTCTCCTACGGCGCGGGTGCGCGCCAGAAGACGAAGAAGAGGAGGAGCGCGACGGAATCGGGGGCACCGGCCATGGTTGAGATTGCGAAGAGGCGGAACTGGGGCAGCGAGCACCGACCGGACACGCACACGCGATCTCTGCGCGATCAGCGAAGTTTGTGGCGAAGTTTGTGCTGAGAGGCAAGCAAAACGCTGAAGCAAAGTTGCAGTGGGAACCGGCCCCATGATCCCCTGCTTGCTGCCGCGCCGAAAGGAGGGCTCCGAAAAAGCGACCCGCGACTCACATGTTAAAGAAGAACGCCGCGAGGAAGCGCGCGGCGTCTCCCTAGAGCCGGGACGGCGGCGGCCCCGTGCAGCCCGGGTAGTCGCCGTCGGAGAAGTCGAGGTCGACCTGGATGGACCAGCCCGTGGGGTCGATGATGTAGTGCTGGACGCAGAGGAAGTACCAGTAGCGGTCCGTGAGCGTCGGCGTGTGCTTGGTGAAGTAGTCGACGAGGTAGTCGCCGGAGACCTTCGCGGGCTGGAGGCCGTCGCCGTCCATGGCGTAGTGGAAGTCGTTGTACTTGTCGCCGTGGTTCGGGCCGTCGATGTTCGCCTCGTGGACGGCCCAGAAGTTGTCCTCGAAGTCTCGGACGGAGAACGCGGCGTCCGCGTCCGCGGCGCGCTCGACGAAGCAGACGTCGCTGAGCGCCCAGTCGTCGCCCGTCGGGTCCGGCCCCCACATGAAGCAGCGGCGGTGGGCGCCGTGCGCCGTCGCGTCCAGGGTGACCGTGCAGTTGAGCGCGTCCTCGTAGAACGCCGTGACCGCGGTGAGGTTCGTCGTCGCGCGGTTGACGTTGACCTCGTAGAGCAGGTTGTTCGGCGTCGCCTTGGCCTCGGTCTTGAGGCGCGCGGCGTTGCGGTCCGACATGCGCGTCTCGAGCGTCGCGCCGTCGTCGCCGCCCGTCAGCTCGTCGGAGATGAGCTCGACGACCAGCACGGAGTGGGGCACGGCGACGAAGAGCGAGTAGTAGGTGTCGCCGCCCGCCGTCGTCCAGGACGCCTTGAGCGTCGGCACGCCGTCCTTCGCGAAGGCGTCGGCGTAGGCGTCGAGGTCTACCGCGTAGAACGCGACGCCGTAGTCGAGCAGCGGCGAATACGTCGCCAGGTCGCCGATCGCCGCGGCGAACGTCGTCTCGAGCTCGGCGACCTCGAGGCCGCCCGTCGTCGGCGAGTCCCAGACGTTGACGAGGTGGATGCCGAAGCCCTCGCCCGCGTTCGGCAGGCCCACGCGCGATTCGGCGGCCGCGTAGCGCCAGTTCGCGCCCGCGCAGCCGTCCGTCGCCGCGCAGGCCTTGCAGCACGTGTCCGCGTCGTGGGCGTAGACGCTGTAGAGGGCCGTGCCGTTGGCGAAGCCCGACGCCTCCGCGTAGCCGCAGTCGGGCCCGTCGCCGGCCGCGGCCGCGGCCGCGCCGGGCGCGGTGACCGCGGCCTGGTTCGAGTTCGCCGACGCGGCGCCGCCGAGGGCACTCAGCAGGTCGCACTTGCGCTCGCGCAGGTAGCCCGTGACCACGAGCTGCACGCGGCCCTGGTAGATGCCCGAGGCGCACGTGCCCGCGGCGCAGGAGTCCTCCGTCGACGTCACGGGCAGGTACTTGAGCAGCCACGACGCCGCCTTGAAGGGCTCGTAGCAGGCGTAGGTCGTCTTCGCGACGCCGTGGCCGGGGTACTGGGCCAGGGCCGGGGCGGCCACGAGGGCGAGAGCGACGATTGGCTGAAGCATTGCGCCGATGTGAGTTTCAGAATGGGCAGCGTGGTGATGTTACGAACTTCACTACATCTTCACTATCGCGAGTTGAAGGCCGCGGCGAGCGCTCGAGCTTGATCTTGTGCTCGACCGCGACCGCGTCGCGCCGCCGCCGGCCACCGTCGCCGCCGTCGCGCCTCGCGGCTCGTCGTCGCGCCTCGCGGCTCGTCGTCGGCGATTTGCCGCTCATCGCTGCCGCGCGCCGCACCCAAAAAACAACCATGCGGCTTCTCGTCGCGGCGCTCGCCGCCGCCGGCGCGGCGGGCATGGAGCTCCGCGTGTCGACGTCCGTCGGCTCGCGGTTCCTGGACAAGAAGGTGGACCTGAGCCTCGACGACGGCATCGGGTGGACCATCGGCGACGTGAAGAAGCTCGTCGCCGTCCGGTTTCCCGGGCAGCCGCCCGCGTCGCTGCAGCGGCTCTTCCTCGGCTCGCGGCTGCTGCGCGACGACGACCCCGCGAGCGGCCTCGCGGAGGAGGGCGGCGACGCGGGCGAGCGCATCCCGCTCGTCCTCGACGTCGTGCCGCCCGTCGCCGCGGGCCGGTCGCGGCCGCCGGACGACCTCGAGGACCGGCTGAAGGCGTACGCGGCCGAGGTGGTCGCGCTCGAGCACGCGCGGCGGCTCCTCGCCGACGACGTCGTCGGCGCCGCGCGGGCGCGCCTCGACGACGACGACGACGAGGAGGACGAGGAGGAGGAGGAGGACGACGACGAGGCCGCGCCGCGGGGCGCGTCCGTCGCGGGCGAGATCCGCCGCTACGAGGCGACGCTGCTGGCGACGGTCAAGGACGGCCTGGCGGCGCACGCGGCCAAGGTCACGTCGGGCGTCGTCGCCGACGGCCGGGGCCGCCGCGCCGCGGACCCGCGCAAGGCCTTCTTCCTCGACGCGGACGCGACGTCGTTCAGCGACAAGCTCGCGCTCGGCCTCGACATGAACTGGCGGGAGAGCCTGAAGGTCACGGGGGGGCTCGTCCTCGCGGCGAACGTCGGCGTCCAGGACAAGGGGCGCAAGGCGTTCCTCCTGTCGCTCGCGCCGTTCGTCTTCCTCGCGCAGACGCGGCCCGCGCGGTTCCTGCTCAAGGCCGCGTGGTACCTCCTCCCCCGCGGGCCGGCGCACGCCGACGGCTTCTTCAACGTCCTCCTCAACGCGCCCCAGCAGATGATGCTCGCGCTCGACGAGGACTTCTACAAGGCCGAGCTCTTCCGGCCGCTCGTATCCGACGCGGAGCTCGCGGAGACGGACGGCGCCTTGGACGACGACGACGACGACGACGACGAGGAGGACGACGACGAGTAAGGGTGGGGCGTGTTCTCTCTCTCTCTCTCTCTGGATGGTCGCGCGGGCGAACTTGGGCGACGCGTCGCGCGGCGCGCAGCGGCGCGCGGCCGAATGATGCGCCACCGGACCATCGCGATCAGCCGTGGCTTGTTTTGGCACGATGGCCGCCAAGTCTCTGGCCATTTCGGCCGCCGCGGCGCCCGGGCTGCGCCGGTCCCTGGCCGCCCAGGCGCCGGCCGCGTCCTTCTTCAGCTCCCAGCCGGCGCGGGCCGTCGTGAGCCCCGCGCAGCACCGCGTGGGCGAGTACGGCCTCGGCGGCCGCCACAGCGTGTCCGGCGTGCGCTGCGCGCTCTTCGGGGGCATCGGGTTCCTCGGGCGCTACGTCTGCAGCGAGATGGGCAAGATCGGGACGCGCGTGCGCGTCGGGAACCGGGGCTGCGAGCTCGAGGCGCGCCACCTCAAGGTGAGCTTCGACCACGGCCAGTTCCACGCGCCGTTCTACTCGGCGCGCGACGAGGCGTCCATCGCCGAGGTCATCGGGCGGGCGAACGTCGTCGTGAACATGGTGGGCAAGTACTACGAGACGCGGAACGTCGTGCCGACGAAGCGCGCGGACGGCGCGTACAGCAACGTCAACTATTCGTACGAGGAGGTCAACGTCGACGCGGCGCGGGCGATCGCCCGGCAGGCCAAGGCCGCGGGCGCCGCGGGCTTCGTGCACGTGAGCGCCATGGCCGCCGACGCCAAGAGCCCGTCCGAGTGGGCGCGCACGAAGGCCGCGGGCGAGGCGGCCGTGCTCGAGGAGTTCCCCGAGGCGACGATCGTCCGGCCCTGCACGCTCTTCGGCTGGGAGGACCGGCTCCTCAACTGGTTCGCGGGCATCGCGGGCATGCCCGGGGCCCTCGTGCCCCTCGTGGACGACGGCGCGTCCGTGCTCCAGCCCGTCTACGCGGTCGACGTCGCGAAAGTCATCAACCAGATCACGCTCGACCCGACCAAGTACGCGGGGCAGGTCGTGGAGCTCGGCGGGCCGGCGGAGTACACGCGCCGCGAGCTCGCCGAGTTCACCTTCGACGTCACGAAGCAGAAGGCGACGCTCGTGCCCGTGCCCGCGCAGCTGGCGGATTTCGCCGCGGGCTTCATGAACCTGGCGCCGTCGCCCATGTGGACCCGCGACGAGGTCGCCCTCGAGACCGTCGACGTCGTCGTGCCACCAGGCACGCCGAACCTCACCTTCGCCGACTTCGGCATCGCGCCGACGCCCATCGAGAAGATCGCCTTCTCCTACCTCCACCGCTACCGCGAGGGCGGCCACTTCATCATCGCCAAGGGCTACCACGGCTAGGACGCCAGCCCTCTCCCCCGATCACGCTAAGACCCCGGAAGCTCGCGCTCGGTTTCGGGGGTCGCGGGGGCGGGCACGGCGACGCGCGCCGAAGTGCGCGCCGCCGCCGGCCCTGCCGCCGGCGACGTTTTCGCTTCGAAGGCCATGGAAGCGGGGAGCGCGCCGGCGACGTGTCGCGAGCTGCTCGCTGGACTTCGTAAAAGGCCGTCGCGTAGTGCGCTCCAGCGCCGCGGGCAAAGAGGCCTCGGGGCGCGCGCGCGCGCTTTTTGGACGGCTCGCAGCAACCGAACGCGCGCCGACGCCGCAACGAACCGTAGGCACACGCGTTTCTCGACCATGGCGGTCGTCGGCCTCGACTTCGGGTGCCTGAACGCCGTGATGGCGCAGGCGGAGCGCGGCGGCGTGACCGTGCTCCTCAACGAGAACTCGAAGCGCCTCAACGCGAACCTCGTGTCGTTCCAGGGGAAGCAGCGGTTCCTCGGCGCGCGCCCGCGCCCGGCCGCTCCGGAAGACCCCTCGCGCGCGCGCGCCGCCCGGCGCCCCGCCGACGCGCCCTCCTCGCAGGCGAGGCGGCGTCGTCCATCGCGCGGTCCAACTACAAGAACACGATCTCGTGCATGAAGCGCTTCATGGGGCGCAAGATGTCCGAGCCCGAGGTCGCGGCGGAGATCGCGCGCGTGCCCGGCGTCAAGTTCGTCGAGGTCGACGGCCTCGTCGGCGTCGAGGTCATGTACGACGGCGAGCCCAAGGCGTTGAGCATCCCCCAGTGCGCGGCCATGATGCTCTTCAAGATGTCGCAGATCTGCGCGGACAGCAACAAGGGCGCGTCGATCGCCGAGGTCGTCGTCTCCGTGCCCGCGTGGTTCACGAACTCGCAGCGCCTGGCCATGCTCGACGCCTGCGACGTCGCGGGCCTGCGCTGCCTGCGCCTCATGCACGACACGACGGCGACGGCCCTCGAGTACGGCATCTGGCGGTCCGCGAAGAAGGCCTTCGACGAGAAGGTCACGCAGCGCGTGCTCTTCGTCGACATGGGCTACAGCTCCTACCAGGTGTCCATCGTCGACTACGTCATCGGCAAGCTGGTGGTGAAGGCCACGGCCTGGGACCGCACGCTCGGCGGCCGCGACTTCGACGAGGTCATCGCCGCGTGGATCGCCGGCGAGTTCAAGGCCAAGCACAAGTGCGACCCCATGGAGAACCCCAAGGCGCGCATGAAGCTGCTGGACACGGCGGAGAAGGCGAAGAAGACGCTGAGCCCCCACGGCGTCGGCGAGGCGAACATCTACTGCGAGTGCCTCATGAACGACCTCGACTTCTCGATCAAGCTCACGCTCGACAAGTTCGAGGAGCTCATCCAGCCCCTGCTCGACCGCCTCGTGGCGCCCGTGGACCGCGCGCTCGAGGCGTCGGGCACGGACCCCAAGGACCTGGCGGCGACGGAGATCTGCGGCGGCGGGTCGCGCGTCGCGTCCGTCAAGAAGGTCCTCGCGGCGCGCCTCGGTTTAGACGCGTCCGCGACGAACTACGGCCTGAAGACGACGCTCAACGCCGACGAGTGCGTGTCCAAGGGCTGCGCCATGCAGGCGGCCATGCTGTCGCCGCGCTTCAAGGTCAAGGAGTACCAGATCTACGAGGCGACGCCGTTCGGCGTGTCGCTCTCGTGGGACCAGGGCGCGGCCGCGGCCGCCGCGCCCATGGACACGTCGGCCGACGGCGGCGACGACGACGGCGCCGACGACGGCGCGACGGCGGGCACGTCCGACGTCGTGCTCTTCCCGCGCAACGGCGAGACGCCGTCGACGAAGCGGCTCACGTTCCGCCGCGGCGACGACTTCAAGATCACGGCGAGTTACGACGCCAAGGACGCGGCCCTCCTGCCGGCGCAGTGCGAGGCCTTGATCGGCGAGTTCACGGTCAAGGGCGTGCCCCCGGCCTCCGCCGACGCGCCGTCGCGCGTCCGCGTGAACGTCGCGCACAGCGTCCACGGCACCGTCGCCATCTCGAGCGCGCAGTTGGTGGTCGAGGTGCCCGACGACGAGCCCGCGAAGAAGGACGACGAGAAGAAGGACGACGCCAAGGCCGACGGCGAGGCCAAGTCCGAGGAGAAGAAGGACGACGCGCCCGCGGAGTCCAAGGACGGCGAGGCCAAGGCCGAGTCGCCCGCCAAGGCCGACGCCGCGCCCGCGGGCGACGCCAAGGCCGACGCCGCGCCGACGAAGAAGAAGCGCAAGTACAAGAAGACGCCCCTCGAGGTCGCGGCGACGCTGCCCAAAATGTCCAAGGCGCAGCTCGACGCCGCGCTCGAGCTCGAGGCGCAGATGGCGAACCAAGACCGCGTCATCCAGGAGACGAACGACATGCGCAACGAGCTCGAGGCCTACATCTACAAGATGCGCGACGACGTCATCGGCGACCTGCGGCCCTTCGTCGCCGACGACGCCAAGGCCGCCTTCGAGGCCGCCATCGGCGGCGCGGAGGAGTGGCTCTACGAGGGCGACGGCTACGACGCGACCAAGTCGCAGTACGCCGCGCGCCTCAAGGACCTCCACGCGCTCGGGTCGCCCATCCAGGCGCGCTTCAAGGCCCACGAGGACCGGCCCGCGGCCGTGAGCGCGCTCCAGACCAAGATCGAGGACCTCAAGACCTTCGCCAACTCGTCCGACGAGTGCTTCGCGCACGTCGACGACTCGGAGCGCGCGACGGTCCGCGACGCCGCGACCAAGGCCGGCGACTGGCTCATGGACATGCTGGACAAGCAGGGCAAGCTCGAGCAGCACGACGACCCGGCGCTGCTGCCCGCGGACGTGTCCGCGAAGCTCGGCGACCTCGAGCGCAACACCAAGGCCATCCTCGCCAAGCCCAAGCCCATCCCCAAGAAGGAGGAGGCCAAGGCCGAGGAGCCCCCGCCCGCGCCGGACGCGACGCCGAAAGACGACGGCGACGCGAAGATGGACGACGCCTCCGCGCCCGACGTCGACATGCCCGACGCCCAGGCGGACAAGTCCGACGTCGACATGCCCGACGCCGCCGCGCCGGACGCGCCCGAGCCCACCGACTAGGGCGCGCGCGCGGCCCCCGGGGTTTCGCGAAGCCCCACACTTTCTTCCTCCCCACGCACTCCGCTCCGACGGGGGCGATCCCCCGTCCGCCTATCTAAACCCCCTCCTCAGATTGACCTCGCCGCGCGGTGAAATTTTTACTCGGGGTCCCCGCGCCGCGCGGCGATGTCGCGGAGCCTTCGCCGCGCGCCGCTCGGGAGCCGGAGCGCGCCGGTGGCCGTCGGCGGCGGCAGCATGGCGAGCGCGAGCACCGCGGGCGGGCCCGCGTCCGCCACGCGGCGCCGCCACTCGGCGTAGGGCACGCGGGCCACGGGCGACGCCGGCCGCTCGAGGCCCGCGACGAGGTCCGCCAGCGGCGCGGGCGGCACGCCGAAGCGCGCCGCGTCGAGGTGGTCGAAGACGACGCCGGGCTCGGCGTCCTCGGCGGCGCGCGCGAGGAGCGCCCGCGCGGCGACGTCGACGGGCAGCACCGCGACGGCGGCCCCCTTGGCCTCGAGGCCCAGGGGCGCCGCGCGCGTCGCGTCGACGGCCGCGAGGAGCAGCGAGAGCCAGTCGCGCGCGCCGCCGCGGTTCGCCGGGTCGCGCGTCGGCGGGCCCAGGAGGCCCAGGCGGCAGATCGCCGCGCGGCGGACGCGGCCCGCGGCCGCCGCGGCCGCGAGGCGGTGCTCGGCGACGAGCTTCGACCGGCCGTAGCCGCTGTCGAGGTCCGCGGCGCACGCCGGGGGCACGAGGCCCGCGCCGGCCCAGCCGCGCGCGAAATCGGCGCGGGGCACGACGCTCAGCGTCGACGCGAAGACGACGGCCGCGCCGGCGAAGCGCTCCAGGAGCGCGCCGAGGCCGCCGACGTTCGTCGGCGCGAGCGCGTCGTAGGGCGCCGCGTGGTCGACGACCGCGGCCGCGTGCACGACGACGCCGACGGCCAGGCGCTCGAGCGCTTTCGCGTCGGCGGGCGCGAGGCCGAGGCCGGGCGCCGACAGGTCCGCGACGAAGGGCCTCACGCGGTCGTCGGCGCGCGGGACGCGAGACGCGTCGCCGCGCACGAGCACCGCGATCGCCTCCCAAGCGTCGTCCGCGACGGCCGCCGCGAGGAGCTCGGGCCCGAGGAAGCCCGTCGCCGTCGTCAAGAGCAGGACGTGGCGGTTCCGCGGTCCCGGGGGCGCGGCCTCCGAGACCGGCGCGCGGGCTTCGACGGCCCAGTCGCGGGCCGCGGGCGCGGTCGCCGCCGCGCCGCCCCGCGCCTTCGCCCGGAGCGCCCGCGCGTCGAGCGCGAAGACGTCCGCCACACTGAAGCCGCCGCCGCGCCAGGCGCCCGCGAGCCGCGCGGCGGCGACGCTGTCGCCGCCGAGCGCGGCCCACCAGCCCGCGCCCGCCGGGAGCGCCGGCGCGTCGCCGTCCCGCGCGTCGAAGAACGCGAGCGCGAGCGCGACGGCGTCCGGGGCCGCGCCCGGGGCCGGGTGCCGCGCCGCGACGACGTGGCGCCGCAGCTTGCCGTGCGCCGAGATGATGTCCTCGTCCCAGGGCCCGGCGTCGACAACGCAGGAAAAAGGCACAAACCAGGACGGGAGGCCCGCGGCCGCCGCGGCGTCGCGCATCTCCGCGAGCGCTACTTCCGGCGCGACGTCGCCGAGGACGACGGCGCGCGGCGCGGCGTCGCCGGGCCGCGCGAGGAGCACGCAGGCGTCGAGCGACGGGCACCGGGCCGCGAAGAGCCACTCGGTCTCCGAGGGCGCGAAGAACTCGCCGTTCGCGAGCTTAACCGCGGCGCCGCGCCGGTCGACGACGTCGAGCTTGCCGCCGACCCAGCGGCCCAGATCGCCGGTCCGGAACCAGCCGCGGTCGAAGCGGTCCGCGGCGGCGACGATGGCCCCCCGCGCCGTCCTGACGAGGATCTCGCCGACGCCGCCCGCGGCGCCGTCGATCCGGACCTCGACGCCGGCGACGGGCGTCCCGTCGCGCGCGATGCCGCCGGGGACCTCGGCCATGGCGTAGCCGTTGGACACCCGGGCGACGGCGCCGAAGCACCGCTCTAAAAAGGCGAGGAGCGCCGGCGGCACGCGCGCGCCGCCCGCGGCGACCAGCCGGAGCCGGCGGCCCGCGAGCGCGCGCGTCGCCGCGAGCGCCGCCGCGTCGGTCAGGCCCCGCGCCACGTGGCCGTCGTAGGCGGCCTCGTAGAGCGCGTAGAACCGCGGCGCCGCCGACAGCTGCGTCGGGGCGACGGCGCGGATCTCCTCCAGGAACGCGCCCCGCCGCGCGTCGCAGAAGCCGAGGCGCCCGCCGTGGACCAGCTCGCTCCAGGCCGCGCGCCGCGCGAGGCCGTGCGACAGCGGCGCGAAGAGCGCCTGGCAGGACACGCGCGTCGACCGCCGCGCGAGCGCCCGCCGGCCGCGCCGCGACGCGGGCGGGCACCGGTCGCCCCAGGCCGCCCACGCCTCCGCGTCGAACCAGAGGGGCTTCGGGTCGCCGCTCGACCCGAAGGACAGCAGGCACGCGACGAGGCCGGCGCGCGGCGGCTCGTCGGAGTCGCGCGGCGGCTCGTCGGAGTCGCGCGGCGGCTCGTCGGAGTCGCCGTAGAGGGGACCGTCGGCGTCGTCGTCCTTTGGCGGCCGCGACGCGAGGACCGCGACGGAGGGCGCCGCGGCCTCCCAGGCGGCCGCCCGGTCGCCGTCGACCACGGCCGCGCGGAGCGCCAGGCCCGTGCCGGCGAGCGCCGCCGTCGCGCGGGCCAGGGCGTCCCGCGGCGGCGTCGCCGCGTCGACGGCGACCGAGGGCAACCCCGCGAGCGCGCACGCCCAGTCCGCGACGAGCCAGCCCGGCCCGTTGCGCGCGCAGAGCGCGACGGCGCCGCCGGCGGGGCCGCAGGCCTCGACGAGCTCCCGCGCGCGCCGGCTCGCCGCGGCGCCGACGCGCGCGTAGCTCCGCCACCGGAGCTTGCCGCCGTCGAAGTCGCCGAGGAGCGGGCGGCCCGCGTACGCGCGGAGCGCGCGCCGGACCATGGTCCACGGGTGCACGGCCGCGGCGTCCGACGGCGCGAAGGCCTCGGCGAAGACCCGCCGTCGCAGCGCGCGCGGGCTCGCGGCGTCGAGGTAAAGCGAGGAGCCAGTGGTTTGGGCGCCGCAGGCCTCGCAGAGCTCCAACTCGTCGTCCTCCGCGCAGCGCCACCGCGGCGCCGACGCAGCAATTGATGCGCTGCACGTACTGCAGGCGATTGGCGTGTCCTTCATCGATCATGCATCGCGTTTAGGCAAGCCACCATCGTTTGTTGCCGTGTCGAGCGCGACGTTGACCAAGTTATTGAAGGGGGTGCGCACCCGAAGATCCCGCCCGGAGGCTCAGACGGAGGCGTAGCCGGGGGGTTGGCGTTCCCACACCGGCCCCTTCCTCCGACCCAAAGATCGCGCGCGCACTCGGATCGGAGGTGTGGCGGCGGTACACTCGCGCCAAGCCTGGTACCGACCGCCACGCCGAGAGCACGCCGGGATTGGCGCAAGGCAGTAGCATCCTGAGTCGCCTCATTCAGACGACACTCAACGGACTCTCCGTGGACCGGGGGAGGTTGAGAACGAAGGCACCCGCACCCGACGGGCAGGACGTCCGGCTCGACTAGGCCGATTCAACCTCAGGACCACAAGTGGCTAGCCGAGGGCACCGCCGAAGAGGACACCCGTAGTCAGCGGGACCGAAGAGAGCAAAGACGCCGACGAAGAGAGCGAAGACGCCGACGTCGACGGAGCCGCACACAGCGCCACGCTACGAAGAGACGCTGCAGAATGCAGAGAAACGAATGGACACGGGCACATCGAAGCCCGCACACCGAAGCCATCGAGGGCGCCGACCCCACCAGCTCCCCCCAAGACTCACGCCGAAGGCATCCGAACGAAGCGAGCGCGCGCGGCAGCCCCCCGGGCCCGTGGGCGACGTCGCGCCGACGGCCAAGCACTGCAAGCTCTCGCGCGCGGCGCCCCGCCGCCCAATCGACGCGCGCAGCGGGACGCTCCTCCCCGAGCGCCCACCGGACCCAACGCGGCGAGCTCCACCACCGGTCGCTGCGCGAGACCACCCCCGCGCACCTCCGAAGGCTGCCCATAAGCTACGGCGTCATCCGATTTTGTTGATACATACGTTGAATAGATGGTGAAGCTGAGCATATGGGCTGTGGCAAAATGCGATAATCACACGCTAGCATAATCGATGGCCGCCTTCGCGCCGTCGGAGCTCGCGATTTACACGCCCGCCGGCAAGCGCGCGGCGCGCGACGACGCGGCGGCGCAGTGCAGCGTGGCGCGCAGCACGCAACCAGAGCACAAAGAGCAGCTCGGCGCCCTCGACGCGCAGTTCGCCGGCGGCTACCCGTCGATCGTGGAGCTCTTGATCGTGTTGCCCGACCACGGCATCGACGCGGCGCGCTTCGTCGCCGCCGCGACGGCGGCGGCGCGGGCGTTCCCGGGCTCCGCCGCGCGGCGCGACGGCGCGTCGCTCGCGGGCGACGCGGGCGTCGCCGTGTCCATCGTCGAGGGCGATCACGCCACGCCGGCGCCGCACCGCCTCTTCGGCGCGCCCGGCGGCGGTATGAGCCTCCGCGTCGCGAACGGCGCGGACGGCGCGACGGTCGGCGTGCGCTTCGACCACGCGCTCTGCGACGTCTCCGGCGCGGCCCT